ACCATATCCAACCTCATACATACTTGCAGCGCGTCGGATTCCTAGCTTTGGGTTATTTTGAAGGGCCTGAAGGGCAAGAAGGATTCTAGCTTCATTTGAAGATTGTGGCATACTGGGTTGTTGTATAGTATTTGATCAGATAGTAATGATGTAAGATGAGGGATTTTTGGTCAGCATACTTGTCCGGTCAGCATGCTTATCAACCACGTTATACTTATTCATATAGTAGATTATATAATCAAGGTTATAATCTTTGCTATATAGGTAGATTCCCTTATTTATATTTAAATTACTTAAAACTATGCCTATAATAGAATTTATAATTATCTCTTTTGAATTAGGGGAGAGAAAGGCTAATTCTTTGGCTTTCACTTACTATCGATTCCCTCATCAACTGCCAGACCCCAGAACTCAATACCAACGTGTTCAGCACGGCTCTGAGTGGCTCGCTCAAGTTCATCTTCAGTGAGTGACACCGCTAGACCATCAAACTCAGGTCGTGGCTTGATTGCCGTCATGCGAGAGATGGACGTTGCGAGATCGGTGTGGCTTGTCATGGCATCACTGACTACACCCTTGGGAACTCCTGGCCCACGAATAAGAAGCGGAACATTAATATCTTCCTCAAACCTACACTGCTTTCCAGGTGAAAGGCGATACTGGCCGATGTGATAGCCGTTGTCACTCGTGTAGATGATGTAGGTGTTATCCATGATGTCGAGAGACTCGAGCTCTTTGACAATTCTGTCAACCGTTTCATCAACAGCCTGCAGAGACTCCAAACGCAAGCGAAATAAATCATCGCCGTAGTCGATATAAGTCTGGTTCAGCTGAGGGCGTTGTGCTACCCAGTTGACACCACTCGGCTTGTCTTCATGTTAACACTTATGACCAATGGAATCGAGGACTCTCTTACCTCTTCTGGGTTGAAGTTGGGTGTCCTGGGGACCTTTAGATGGCGGAACATGTCGGCGTGGCGTTTAGCAGGCTTCGGAGGCAGGATAAGAGGTTGAATGCCGGGGTCCGTTGGAGAGATCGTCCAGTTTGTATGTACCCGGGTGCGGGACAACTTCGGTATGGGGGGGGGGGCAATGGGGGCACTACCGATGAAGAATGGCTTGCCAGCAGCATGCGCCTCCCGAATGTAGTTGATGGTCTTATCGGAGAGGTCATCGGTATTGTAAGTTCCTTCACGACTAACAGGAGCGCTCTGATCCTTTGCCACGTAGCGTTCCAATAGCTGTACATGAAAGGGTCGAGAAGGAAATCAGAAGAGGTCCAGCCGGCGGCATGAGGCTTATCGTAATTTTCGACAGTGTGTGCATTGAAAAGCTTGCCGGTATAGTAGGTACTGTAGCCTGCTTCTTGGAGCCAGATGGGCAGGTAGTTGCTGTTCAATCCCTAACTGAGGAACTTGGGGTATCCACCTACTTCCGGTTACCATCGAGGAAACCTTGTGGCCGAGTAGTGAAAGACTTACCATACGGTGCAACTACGGCGGTCACATTGGTATTGTGTGAAAGTCTGCCGGTGAGAATACTAACACGAGCTGGGCAGCAAATGGCCGTGGTACAAGTTTATGTCAGTCTGAGTGCTAGAACACTTTCGTCCTGACGTACTAATAATGACCCGTATACAGAGTTCCCTCGTCTGCCATCTGCTTCTTCAACTATGGCATGTGCTTGAGAGATTCCATATGCACATCTTGATCATCCACCAAGACTAAGATGATGTTTGGCCTCATCTTGGCTGAGGCAACAAATGTTGCTAGCTACGCAAGCACGCCAAAGGTACGAGGAAGCATGGTTCTGTTTGAAGTTGCAAAGAGGAAGGTGGATGTAGGAGTCGACGGTTGTGCGATGAACTGTGTGAAAGACGATGAACAATACTTCTCTTATACCTTGAGATATCAATGTAGATCCCTCGGAGAATGTCTGGTAAATGAGGAGTTTGAGATCCTTTACTTGCCGAGGAAGTCTGAATCATAGAATTGTCACCAATCACAGCTGAGTCTATACGAAGCATCGTCATAACAGGGTGTCACCACTTGTTTATTCCCGTGACTCGTCGGCATTCATAAATGCCCGATACGATGGTAGCGTCCAAACCTCGTCAACGAATGATTCAAACAAGGTTAAACGGTCTAAGAGCCTTGCAGGAAATATCTCCGAATCCCGTTATCTTCGTCGTGATCGGCATTTTTGTGTCGATTGCTATAGATGCACTTACATAGTAGTACACTCACATGTGGATTCAACCTTACCATCTACCTCCGGTGAGTTCGGGTCAAGCCCGTCCATGACGTTAAAACAGTTCTTGTAAAAAATATCGCCTTTTCGAAAGCCTCATTTTGTCTTGGAAGCTTATGTACACCTTGTGAGTCTTATGCTTGTATCATTCACTATTGGGGAAGGCCTCGTCTCTGGAGGTTATGATCGACAGACTTGAAATATGATATTTAAGGTACGAGAATCCTTGCTATATCTGAGATTAAGTATTGTATCTTATAGGTTGAGAGAGAGTAATCTTGGAAAATATGACATATCCTATGCTTAGACCACAGCAAAAGCAAGAAAACATGCTTAATCTCTAAATATCTCCGGAGGAGCGGGCGTCGGACTTTACCAAACCCCTCTACTCGTGTATCCATCATAGACAAGGGTCTCGTATTCAGAGCCAATCAACTTTCCCTGTCAGATGCTGCGCTGCAAGGCACAAAGCGAATGATACGACAAGCCCAGCGGACCTGACGGATGTTGTCGCAGACAAAAAAGTATGTCGCGGATTTTCTCCAAACAACTCATGACACAAGTTTAACTGCCGTAAGACTGCGGTTTGCCGCGCGGCAGTGCACAACTAAGCACAGCGGGCGTTTCGAGTATTTATTCTGATTCCACAGCGTGTAGCCTGACTTTGTTAACATCATTATATAAACTTAGCCCTGCAGTATTTCTACATTTTGGGCATACAGTAACCGAACAATTTTATTACCCCCACCTGCGTCTTGTCAGGTGTATTGGCTCCCAGTCACCCTCTAAGTGAGTTCAAACAACCATGGCGAAATGCAAAGAGCATCCTCTTGATGTTGATAGTGTGTCTCAATTCACCATAGCGCGAGGTCGGTCCATTAACTTCTTTTAGTCGATGAGAAGGACTTGAGCATCGGAATAACGACTCATGGTCTTCTAATTCTTATCGCTGCTTTATCGTGTCTCGTGGCGTGTCTGGTCTCGGCTTACCTGATATGCAAGCATGCACAAAATTTTACCAAGCCTTCGCAGCAGAGACAGTGGGTTCTGGTGCATCACAAATCGCTTTGCCGTTACGAACTGACCACTCCTTTTAGAGTGATTCGCATACTCTTTATGGTGCCTGTGTATTCCATTGCATGCGTCTGCAGTATAATCTTCTACCGTCAGCACATTTACATCGCCGCCACCTACGAGTTCTACGAATCGCTTGTCATCGCCGCCTTCTTCCTACTTCTTTGTCAAATTCTGCACGTCAACCTGGCTATCTTGCAGACTGACCTTGCCGAGCTTCAGCCTAAGCCCTGGATACCCCCTATTCGTCTAGTTGCCTACTGTTTTGGAAATAGGACAGGGAAGGCTTTAAATGGCCAAATATGGTTCAACGTGAGTTTTGCATGTTGTTGGGTATATAGCCACTGCCTTTTTGCAACATATTAATCGCTCTCCGCTTAGACCATCTGTGTTGGTGTGCTGCAATTTTGCGTTGTCAAGTTTCTAGGAGCGCTGGTCAAATGCATCACTGAAGCTGCAGGCGTATATTGCAAAGAGTTAAACAGTGCTTCTCATGCCAAGATCTGGGTAAGAGCTCTTTGAACTATTTAATTATAATACTGACACTTGTAGGTGATGGTGGTTGAGATTATATCCATGGTTTCAGCCATGATGTGCCTGCTACAGTTTTACAAGGAGATCCGTCACCGAATTGCTGAACATCAACCCATGTTGAAGTTTCTGGCTATCAAGCTAGTTATCATGGTATTTTACATACAATCAGTATGTTTTACAAATTTCTTTTAGAATGAGGAGCACTCTACAGCGGAATAATACTGATCATTTGTCTCTTGTAGTTCATCTTCAGTTTTACCACCAAGCCAGGTGGACCTGTGAAGCCTACCGCACATATTTCCTACCCATCTTGGGCGGTTGGTATCCCCAATACACTTCTATGTATCGAGATGGTATTCGCGTCCGTTCTGCACCTCTATGCCTTCCCGTATCGTCCATACCAGAACAACCAGACTTGCAGCAACGAGGATTCGGAAGCGCTTGAACGAACGGATCAATCAGAAGGCGTATATCAGGGGCTAAGTACCGCAGATTCTCACTACGACTCAATCTGGTCTGGAGGCACCAAGCGGTCTGCTAAGCCCCGGACATCCGCCAGAGGTGCAGTGTTACAAGCGCTCGGCTTCAAAGAGATTCTGCAGGGAATTGGAAAAGCTGCGAAGTGGTTTTTTGTTTTGCGGAGACGACAACGTTGATTACACGCACGACCAGTTCCAGCATACTCTTTTATGGCACGTTACTAGTAACGACCTATGTGACGAAGTGTCGTAGCTTCGGAGTCTGGACGGTGCGCTTCTTGTTGAAATTTGGCACCCTACTACTTATTATAATAGTAAATTGGCCAATTTATGTTTTTTTTATATAGGAGTTTAGCATAGTGTTATTATATTATAGGTTAATTTACCATTTTTATATCTTATAGCTTACTTTTTCTTAGAGTAAAATTAAAATAAAATAATCTGTTTTTAATAATAATAAAATAAAAGAAACCTAATAATATTATATAAATATAAGCCTTTCTAGGATATATTACCTATTAATTATAATTTATTAAGGGTTTTAATAAGATTATTAACCTATTAATAAAGTTAACTAAGAAGGATTAATTATTTAAATAAAATAATAAAGCTTAAAAAGCCTTTAAATAACTTAAAAAGACTACCCTTAGGAAACCTATTTTAATTATATTTAACTTAAAAAAATAAATTAAACTAGAAATAAATTTATTTAATTTTACTATAAAAGGATAAATTAGTTAATAAGATAAATAAAAGGGATTATATTTTATTATATTTTACTTATTTAAGTTATATAAAGTAGAACTTAATTAGTTAATTCATTATAAGAAGTTCTTAGTAATTATTAACTATTTTAAGGACTTTAAATATTATCTTATAAGAAGTAAATATTAAATAAAGATATATATATATTACTAAAATATCTCTTATTTTATTATAATATATAAGCTTAACTAATAATAATTATATTATATAGAATACTTATATGAATTTATTTTTATAACTACTTATAAAAAAGGACTTAATATTAATAAAGAAAATATAATAAATAAAAGATAAAATAATAAGAATATAAATTATATAAAGAATTATAATTACTATTAGTAATATAATAATCTTTATAAATAATTATAATAAACTTTATAATTATATTACCTCTAATAAAAAAACCTTTAGCTAGACTTTTTTATAATAATATTATAATTATAATTAATTAATTTATAAAGTTCTTATATTATATATCTTATAAAGAAGTAATAAATATAAAATAACTTACTTATATTTTTTATAATAAGATTATTAAGATATATAAAATAGTCCTTAGGATTTTAATAAATAAAAAAAGAATATTTACTAATAAGTTCTAATAGGCCTTACTAGCTTATATAAAAGTAAAATATAAATATATATTAAACTTTAAATTATAAGTAAATAAATAAATAAAACAAATAAACTAAGTAATAAAATAATACTTATAATATTATATTAATTATAAATAAAATAATTAAATTAAAAAGCTATTATATACTTAATTAGCTTATAATACTACTTATTTTTTTTTTAAGTTTATAAGTTAGCCTTAAAAGGCATATTTAAGTATCTCTAAAGTCTAATATAATTTAAATATTTATTACCCCTTAGTAAGTAATCTAATTTAACTTCTTATACCTTCTAATTATAACTACTAATAGTATTATAGCTGCCTTATTATAATACTTTAAAGAAGCCTATAGCTACCTAGGCTTAATAAGCCCTATTTAATAGAAGATTATAATATAATTTAAATAATTAAAAGAGCTTTCTTAAGCACTAAGTAAGGTAATTATAATAAGCTTTATATAATAGCTATTAAAATTATAATAACTTAGATAATTAAAAATAATATTAGCTATATTAGGCTGGCCCTCTTTAGCTATAAGGTCCTCTAGCTTATATAACTATATCTTTATATTTCTTATATTAATAAGGCCTTCCTTAATACTAAGATATAAAGCCTTAAGACTCTTAGATAGGTATTAAATAGAGGGTACCTATAAAGAAGGTAGAATAAGTTCCTAGAGAAACTTTATAATAGCTTATATAATAAGTAGCTCTATAATATTAGGAAGCAGGCAATAGAGGTACTGCTTTTATTAAAGGAGATCAGCAACCTATAACAGGCTAATTATAGTCTTAAACCACAGCGCGACTAAGACGAGGGGGACGGCGTGCTGTAATATAGATAGAAGAGGGGTAATCGCAGGGTTTAGCTTATAAACTAAAGAAATAGGAAGAAGATATATTAAGTTTTATATAAGTTTAGTTACCTAAAGTTAAAGACCTAAAGTTATAATATTAGCATCAGCGGCATAAAGAGGGTTAAATAGGTTATAAGATATAATATATAATAAATTTAATAGATTAGCTAAATATTAATATATTATTAATATAAACAGGGGATAATACTACCTATAATAAAAGTATAAAACTTATATTATTTAATATTAACTTTAGGTATACCTTAAATAATATATATAATAAGTAAGTATATTATTTAAGTAAGTATATTACTTTTTCCTCTTATAAAGAAGGTTAATAAAAAGTAAAATTTATTTTTAATTTCCTTTTTATCTTAACTTTATTTAATTTAAAGAAAGATCTTAAAATAATACTCTAGGGCCTATTATATGTCTTTAAACTAGGTATTTAAATATTAAGCTTTAATTATTCCTTTAAGCTTTCTAATTCTTATTACCTTTTTCTAAGTTATAATTTATTTTTTTTAATTTATTTTTAAGCTTAAAGTACTTTTTAGTATTTTAAAATATTATTTTTAACCTTATTTCTTTTTTATATTATTATTAATATTATAAGTAGCTTTAAGGTTAAGAAAGAATTATAATATATTATTATATTTAATTAACTTATTTATAACTAGTAAATAGATTTTAATATAATATAAGCTTATTCTCTTAATTATTTAATTAAATATATTATAAATACTATTTACTTATTTATTTTATTAATTAAAATTTCTTTTTTTTTTTTTTTTTTCCTTACTATTAGCCTTATATAAGGCCATTAAGCTTTTTTAACTTTTCTATAAAGGCTTAAATAGTAAGACCCCTATAGTAGGCTATTATTGCAGAATTTAAAATTAAATAAGGTTTATCTGCCTTAATGGCATAATTACTGCTTTAACTAAGTAGTATT